ATGATAAAACAGCAAAATCTCTTGAAATGATTATAGAAATAAATTTACAGTTTTGTACAGCTAGCTAAGACTGATAATTTTAAGTAGTTGCCTTACCTCACCAACCCCACCCCTCATTATAAGCAGATCTAGAGAGATAATTATAGCAAGTCTATTTACTATCAGAGATGCATTAAAATTAGAATAATTCCAAGTATTGATGGTAACAGATAATAACTTTGTTTTTTTGAGACAGAGTCTTATTTTGTCGCCCTTGGTAGAGCGCTATGCCATGGCATCCTCATAGCTCATATCAACCTCAAACTCCTGGGCTCAAACAATCTTGCCTCAGCCTCCCAAGTAGCTGGGACTAAAAGCATGCACCACTATGCTCAGCTAGTTTTCTTTTCTGTTTTTAGTATAGAATGGGGGTTTCAATTTTGCTCAGTCTGGTCTTGAACTCCTAAACTCAAACAATCCACCCTCTTTGGCCTCCCAGAATGTTAGGATTATAGCTGTGAGCTATTGCATCTGGCCTTAGATAGTGTCTCTTAATTTTATGCAACATTTCTCAGCAAAACCTGGAAATAGCTACTTTTTCAAAATTAAAGTATGCTAGTTACTGACATGTATACTTCAGAATTCTATGTATGTTGCAGTAGAAATGTTTCTAATGTCTAAAACCATTTCTGTAAAAAACTCTCACTACCCAAACCTTAGTATTCTCTATCTATTAAATCTAGTCAATTGTATGAAACTAAAGATTCCTACTATTTGAATGCATACAATTGGAAACATCTGGTATAAATGTTTATTTCTATAATGTTGTAATTGTAGCCTTTCTTAAATCTAATGGTTGATCTTGATTTGCTCTTTGCATGAAGTTGCCTTTACACTGAAATACAGAGGAATACATGTTTTGAGATTATAAGAAAAATCATATTTCTTATATAAAACCCAGGTGCATTAAAGACTGTATCTGTAAAGCTTAAACATTTCACACAACCAAATATACAATTAATACTTACAAAAATCAAATTTAGAAAAAGAATTTTGTTTTTTTAGCAAAACAAGGCACTTACTAGGAAATCTCTGAGTGGCAATTTGCCTTAGAGAATAAAAGATGTCACACATTACAGTGGGGCAGCTCATACTTGATTTTATAATCGTATTGAACAACTTGTCTACATAGTAGCGCAGATTCTCCTGTAGGATTAAAAAAGTAAAATTAAGATTTTGACTTTCACACATCTTCAAAAGCCTTTATGAAATCCAGACTTGCTAGACATAAGAGGTGAACATATGAATAAATCTAACAAGAAGTGACAGGGAATAATATGATCCAAAGGGAAATCAATGAATTAAAATCCCTGGACGTATAGACACAAGGATACTGTGACACTGTAATCCACTGCAATGAAAATTTGTGACGATAACACAATCACAGTTTTCCCAAAGGCAACTAAAATTTTTGATTGACCAAGTCACTGTGCCACGTAAGAGCACAATGATCTATGTAACTCCAAGGAACAAGCCAGAAATGGAGGTTGCAACTAGATATATCCTAAATCCACTATTGTTACTAGACCCAAAAAGAGATAAACAAGAATAAAGAGAAACCACCGAAAAAATAACATTGTAAAAACTAGTCTTAGTAAAGGCTGCTAATCGTAAAGACTTACATAAACAATAACTAAGACTGCTTCCCTCTATATAGCATTATTACAACAAAGTGGGAGACCAATTTTAATATAGCTGTAAATATAATAAGGATTTACCTTATTACTTTCAACATTATCTCCCTCTTTTAATTTAATAGGATCGATTTCACAGGATTTTGAAGATTCACATATCTGGAAAATAAATAAATTTTTCAGTTAACACTCTTTTCTAAATAATTTGACAAAATGAAAATAACTAATCTTTTCCTGATAAAGTTAGTTATAAAAATTAAAACTATAACAAAGTTGAAAATCCCCATCCAGAGATGTCTTACATAATACAACTTTCTTTAAGAACTATACCAAAAAGTATTTCTCAGATATTTGAGAAATATCTAGCTAAAATAGAAATCCCATAACAAAGAAATAATTATGTACATTATACTACAATGTACCTTTTCAGTAAAAATTCATTGATAGAAAAGTAAATAATTTACTTCTTAAGCGTTCAGCCTTATTTTTTCAGTAACACATGAATGAATTTATCATTCTCATCAATAGATCATTGGACAAGAGACAAACTATCATTACTGTTAGTTATTCTGTACCTCATCCAGAATAGGTTTTAATGTTACTTTTAGGTAGTGCCCTCCCACAATTTTCATCATCTCATCCAGACATCGGGTAGCCAAGGAATTGCCTCTAAAAATTGTGTTTGCATCTCTGAAATAGAAATAGAAGAAAATGAGTGTAGTAAACAAAGGCTGTGAAACTAATATGACATATTTCACTTTAGTCATATATATAAATTCAGTAATTTTTACCATCTATTTGTTCAAAAAACTTGCATTAGAATTTTCAAACTTACCAAAAATATGTGAAAATCAGTTTAAAAAAAAAAAAAGAAATCACATTCATGAACTGAAAAGGTGGAACAAATATATGTGTGTATGTATAAAACACGTGTTAGACTGTAATGAGAATAGGAAGTCACTTGGTTGCTTTCTATAATAGAATGTAACATGTGTGCATGTAAGAGTGACCATACAAAGTTTTATTTGTGACATGTGAGTCATTACACTAAGAAGCAGGTTAATAACAAAGGAAATTTCATCACTGAGTAAAGAAAAATCCTTCATTAATTGTTATCCTTATAGTTGGTGAATACTTTGACAAAGAACTGGCTTTTGTTACTTGCTAAGCAATTCTTTTTTGTCTACTATACTATAAGCCTGGTCAATATAGAAGAATTCTGACTAAAAAAACTACTCGTCAAACTAAAGTAAAATTTCAACAACATGAAATTAACACTTAATAAAATGTAACTCTTACTGTGTGTCCTTCAAGTCTAATTCTGCCACAGCAGTGGCAAAAGGAACAAGTTTATCATGGTGCAGCAGCAGTCGTACGAGAGGCAAAACAGCATCATTTTTATCTCGACATATTTCACCCAAAATGTAAGCAGCTGAGGCAGATATTGGCTAAAATACAGAAAGGTAAGAAAACAAGCACAAAATCAAGAAAACATGATTAAATGTTTGATTACTAACCTGTAAAAGTAATTACAATATGTTCATTAATTGAAACTGTTATACAGAATAACATTTAATTTTTAAAATTTTCATTAGAGCTAATATTTGGAGCATACATTGGAATCATAATAAATAATAAACACATACACATGTATTTAATGTTTTAATAAGATCTGATACTCTGAAATCTTTCCTTCATCATTTACAGTATTATTTTGGCTTTTTCATATTAAATCATATCCTTCAGATTTTTAACATACCTGAACCTCTGGTGATTTTAGCAGCAAAGTTTTCAAAGGACCATAGTACTCTGAAGGAAGCACGTAGTCTTCTGTATAACATATATTTAATCGAAGAGACCCCAGGTCATCAGTTTTAGATGACTTATTACCATTGTCTCTGGGTTGTAACAAGTACCTACAGTAAAAATACAATCAATTCCATGAGATGGTAATGAGCATTCAGGTCAGTGAGGTAAGTAAGCAGCTAAGCTATTAAACACAGTATAATAAAAAGGAAACAAAAAAAATCAACTTAGTATTTATGGTTAGGGCTCTTTGTAAGTAACAGGCTTCTAATCTTCAGAAGCTTAATATTGTTTATATATTAAAAAAACTGTAAACAGATTTTTTTTATTCAGAAAACAAAAAGTGTAAATAATACAAAAACTAAGACCTCAAAGAGGTTGAATAAGAGTTTGATTAGCTTGCAAGTTTAGAAAATAATAAATGATAAAACATTTAAAATCCAGTACATTATCAAAAACATCTATTTTTTTGAGACAGTGTCTTATTCTGCGGTACAGACTAGAGTGCCGTGGCATCAGCCTAGCTCACAGCAACCTCAAACTCCTGGCTTTATTGACCTTGTTTTATAGTAAATTCTGTACGTAAAAATTTGAACTTAAATCTGTAGGCCCAAAATCAGAAATCTTGGAAAGTTTTTAAAAAAATGTTTTATCATGGAAATTTGAAAATATTAATACATACAAAAATAAAGAGAATAGTATATTAAATCCCCATGTGCCATAACCTATCTAGTTTTAACAATGATCAACTCAAAACTAATCTTATTTCAGCCATATCTTCACTCATTCTCCTGTCCCACTCCTCTATTATTTTAAAGCAATTTCTAGGTATCTTATAATTTCATATATCATTCAAAAAAATCATTATTACTCTATATACTAATTCTCAACCTGGGGCAACCAAGTGCTTCTCTGGAGGGACTAGAGCGGTTTCCAGGACCCGAAATCAACATTGCGGCTTATTTGTTCCAGAAAGTGCCACCTACTGACAGGGAGATCAATTTATATGCCCTTTGTAGCATTTACTGATTCAATTAAATTATACAGTGTGTAGATGAGAAGAAATCAGAGACAAATCTCTGAATACATGAAAAATCAGAGTGAAAGGACACCCTTAAGAGAAAATAGTAACTCCTTACTAATGGCAACCAACCAAAACAAGAACATTGAAATGACTGATAAGGAATTTTGAATATAGGCAGTGCCTGTAGCTCAGTGGATGGGGTGCCCACCATATACACCAAGGTTGGCAGGTTCGAACCTGGCCTGGGCCAGCTAACCAACAATGAC